ATCACATGTCCGAAATGCCACAGAGAAGATACAGAATCAATACCAAGGTAATAAATATACGAAATTTGTTTTAAAAAAATATATACAATTTAGTTATACAAATAAAATTATTGGTCTCATTTTAGGTACCGGTTGATTTTAACAATCACACAAGGAGAATATAGTGCAAGCATGACACTATTTGAGGAGGTCGCATGCGTTTATATTGGGTGCCCTATCAATGAGTATCTTAAATCAATCGAACAGGTATAATTTTATTTACTCTGACCACTATATAACTACATGCACATGAATAAAATTATTTGTGGAAATACAATTTTTACATACATATACCATTTAATTAAATATCTCTAACCATCCATCTACATGATCCATTTCTATAGGGCGAAAATAAGTCGAAGTATTATAGAGCACTGAGTCTCCAATCATCAAGTGAATTCTATTTTCTCATCGCACCAAACAACAATTTATCATATTCCAATGGACAACTTAAGGCTGTGGCTGATGCAATTCAAAGAATTCAGCCTACTATAGAAGAAGAAGAAGATATGCCAGAGACATCTAAAGAAGGTGCAAAGAAAAATGAGCCAATTGAGGTTAGAGAAACACAAAGTGATGAAGATGTTCCTACAAAAAAAAGAAGGCTCATTAAGAAGGTGCAAAAATTTGATCTTGAGGTAAATAAACAAAGGTTAACGACATCAAAAGGAAGTGCGAAAAAAAAAGAACCGCTTGAGGTTGAAGAGATTCACAGTGAAGAAGATGTGCTTAAAAGAAAAGGAAGGGTCGTTAAAAAGACAAAGAGATTTGAACCTGAGATAATAAAGAAAAAAAGGGTTGCGACATCAAAAGCAAATTCCAAAAAAAATGAGCCGATTGAGGTTGAAGAAAATGACAGTGAAGAATATGTTCCTAAAAAAACAGGAAGAACCCGTAAGAAGATAAGTATCGTTGAGAGTTCTGATGATGAAGACACACTTGAAGACCTTAAGATGAAAAGTAAGAATAGAAAAGGGCACAATATCAAAAACGAAAGAGAAAAGGAGTAGTGTGGTGTAGGGTTTTGGATGATGTCCTTAGTTTAATCTAGCTTATCATATTTCTGAAATTTAGTTTTATTTGAGTTTGTTTAATTCACTTTGTCATTTTACGACAAAAAATGAATAACCAAATGAAAATAACAATAAATTGTTGAATCATTTCATTGTTTAGTACGATTGTTAAACCAAATGAAAAATAATTTCAATTAAAGACCACAATATTATTAAATCAAACGAAATTTCCTTTACTGTTGCTCTATTTAATAATCAATGATAAATTCTACCTGAGGGCTTGCGAATGTCGGGATTCACTAAATCTCGAATCCAGATTCAGTGGATTTTACCTCCAACCCATCAACCTCGCCTGCAATTTCATCCTATATCTACAGACCCAACTCTCCGGCATGAAACCCTCACTATCCCACAAGTGTTACCAAAGCCACAACCCCGATTAACAAATCCTTAGAAACACCGAAATATCAATACATTATCTCTCCAAATTATTGCACAACTCTCAATATTCTTTCTTCGTTCATTTGCAGTACTCAACCACAGTATTAGGATTTTTGATTGTTCGTCATTTCTAATGGTGCTATTTGTAAATTTTCAATAAAGTGACATTGAATAAATAATATTGTATTGTATAAAAAGTTTGTGTTATTTAATGCTAACAGTCGTAGTCATGTATGTATAATATTGTTCATTTATTTAGAGGTAACAGTCATGTTTCATCATTTGAATAAATAATTTTTTTTTTCCTTTCTTTTCTTTTGAAGAAAACAGGTCAAACATGTTTTGCACCCCTGGTTTATAGTCTATGTAACACTTAATCCATCAATATTAATTATTTTGTATCTTAAATTTTAAGAAATAATAATAATCTTAATATATTTCCACTTTCATTGGATGGAATAATTTAAAAATAATTCATATAATTAAATAAAAGTATCAATTTAAAATTTATTGCAATATTTGAAAATGTAAAATTTTATGTTCCTTAGCTAGAATAAATAACACAATAATACAATAATTATTGGATCATATAAAATTTAATAGTAAGTAAAATTTAATTATTGGTACAACATTGATAATAATATATATTAATAATATATATTGTATAATAATGAACGAAACCATATTTCAGAAGCTAATAAATTAAAATAAATAAAAGTACTGAAGATTAGTATTAATCATTGATGAATTTCTTAAAGTTTATTATAAATGAATTTGCATAAACGTAACATTTTGTGAAATTAATGACGTAGAAATTCAAGAATAGTTAGTTATTTGGAATTCATTGATTTTAAAAAATGTTTTCTTAGTTTTAAGTTATTTGCAGTCCCTTAAAATTTGACTCACGCGGTTAAGTTTGACGGAAAAACTAACGGAAGCTACGCTACATAAACCACAAGGGGGTTATGTGAAGATATTACAAGTACCAGGGGTCATCTGCAAAAGCTTGTAACGACAGGGGTGTGAACTGCTATTTAGCCTATTAAATGTGTACCCAACGCAAGATAATATTTTTAAGGGTAAATTACACCTACACCCCTGAAGTATTCTAAAATAACTTTAAGGTCCTTGTGGTTTTAATAATATAATATAATTATTCTTTTTAGTTATTCCATCCCAATAAAAGATAAAATTTTGAATGTATTAAAATTTGAAACACAAATTAAATGGTGCTTTTTTATCAGTAAACTAAATGGTATTTGAGGGGTAAGTGTTACAAATGATATTTTAAAGAGGTAAGCGTTACATATGGTATACTTTAGGGGTCTAAAGTGTATTTAACCCTTTTTTTAAAGATTTTTTTTATTTCAAGCACCCCCCAAATTAGTTTACTTAAGTGGGGCCTTGGTGAAATTCTTAGAGCCTGCATGTCCAGAGACTTTGATCTCCTGCTAGACCTCAATATATACCCAATTTTCTAAAACTCCAAGCTTCAAAGTTGTAGATCCTTCGTTTGTCTTTTCGAATAATATTTACACATATAATTTGGAGGTGGGACGAGAGAGTAATGTCAGAGAGGTGTCCAAACTATTCGAAGTTTGCCGAAATAAGTTTGTTTTGACTCGAGGAAAATATAAGATAGTAATTCTTATCAAATGCCCCAACTTAAATAATAATTACTCTGCAAAGGTTGTAACAATTTTAATAGACTAAATTCTAAGATGTGGTGTTCATATGTAATTGATTATCATCCCTAAAAAATATGAAAGTTTGCCATTTCCTTATTATAGGTTAGAATTGGACGCCACATTTGTTTATTAACACCTCATTCCATGTATTTATAAATTAAGTTATAATTAGTCATAAAATGGGGTAACTATATAAAAAAAAAAAAAAACTTCAAAATACGTCTCACAAACATTTCACATGTTTGTAACTTAATAAAACTCATCATCTAATTGTGCATCTTTTGGTATTGTCACACAATTATTAAGTCATTAATTACAAAATAATTACCATTACATGGATCCATCCAACATCACCCAAAAACTGCCAACAAGTCTTAAATTGAAGAAACAATTGCATACAAAGAGTCATTGCTTCTCTATTGTAATAAAAACATACATGAAGAAAAATTAAGGTCATAATTACAAAATAAATTCCATTTAATTAGTAACAGCTGCATATGTCTACAAATTGTACTCCAAACAATATCCATATAACACAAAGAGTAGGCACTAAGTTTGATTTTGTTTATCGGGTACGTACATACCTAAGCAAATTGATAGAATCCACTTCCCACAAATATGTCTTCCTTTACATATTTTTTTATGCTACATCTTTAAACGTTAATTCCAACATAACATTTGTTTTAGATTTCCCACATATTCTTATTGACAACGGCAAATATAAATTGTTCTTACCCGAGTCACTACGATTGATAGAGTTTCCCAATTTGGCGAATGATTACACATCCATCATACGGTGTAAGTGTGTTTGAAAAACTTTATTTTTCGTTGATTATAGGCCATGGAAAGACCATGACAAATTTTTATTACTCTGAAAGATATCTTCATTTTTCCATGGTTCATATGAAAATCTATGTCGTCAAAGGATTTGTTTTTAAATGCGCTTAAGTATTGGTGGTGATAAAAACTGAATAAATGTTTAAAATATTAAAATATATGAAAATAGAACCAATTTATTAGTTTATTAGCTAGAATCTCTTCTTTTATAATGAATGATGTACATGATTTACATTTTATTTTTCTTCTTATTCTTTATTTGAATGTGGTACAACTAATATATACATTAGTGAGATGTTGCTCTTGAATGTAGTGTATAAACTTATAAAGAGTTCAATTGTACAGACTAAAGATCCAAATAAAATTTGGATTAATCACAGACCCAAGGAAATAAGAATTGCTTCGGTATATATATCTGCTTAATCATCCTAAGCTTTAGCACATGAATGTTTTATAAATACAAATAGTGGAATTTTTTTTTGTTATCTGTTATGTATTTTCAACCCAACATATAAAATATATATATTTAACCAAAAAATTGAAACTTTTCTTTGGTCAATTCTAGACACAGGTAGCCATTAATTATATCGAACATTTTACCTCTAAATTTCCTATCCTATGTTAGAATACTTACAATTGTTGTAGCATTACTATTCACCATTTGTTAGACGAATATTGTTCATTGTAATCTAATTCCATATCTGTTGTAGGGAACTCATTCAATATATAATATCGTGTCAAGTATTAAATATATTGTGATGAGCATAACATGTTAATTTTCCTTTAGTCGATGACTTATGTAGTTGTTGGTTAATATGATAACTTGATCATTTACAGATATATTTTGCACCAAGTGACTTCAAACATGGTAATGCATAAACAACGTAACGATATGGAGTCAACATCAGGTATGTTTATTTAATTTTTAAATATTGTAGTATTGCTCTTAAATTCATTTGAAATAGGATCTTCAACAAGGTTTATACATAATTTTTTTACTATGTATATTGACAACAATTAACATTACTTTTATTGTTGTAGATGTATTACGACAGCGGAAACTAGCTAGGATGAAGAGGAAATATGCCGAGCTAACTGCCATAGACAAACAAAAGTACATAGACAAAGTGAAAAAAGCTAAGACGCTGAGGAAAGAAAGAAATTCGATTGGTTACAACCATAATCCTATGCATGAGGAAGTGACTAGCCCTTTTACAGAAGTTGCATCAAATGCAGTAGCATTAGCTTCTACCAATGAAAAATGCCAAAAACCGCCAATTACTAAGTGGCTTTTAAGAGCACAAATGATTCCTGCCCGACGATCAGAAGGTAATTTCGGTATAGAATTAATTAATTAATTTAAATGTCACTTGTAATTTTAATATAATCTTTATTGTTTTCTTATTTTACCAGGTCTAACAATTTATGATCCTGTATGCTCAGAGTTGCATGAATTAAAACACGTTCCTAATTGCATACATTGTCATGCCGTAAGATTTGAATATGAACCTAAGACATTTTGTTGTGGCAATGGAAAAGTTAGAGTTGCGCCTATTGAAATGCCAGATGAAATGTATGACCTGTTTGTCTCTGAATCAGAAGAAGCTGTAACCTTTCGCAAGAATATCCGTGCGTTGAATTGCATATTCTCTTTCACCTCATTAGGAGTGAAATTAGATAAGGATCTTGCATCTGCAAAGCATGGGGTTTACACTTTTCGAGCACAAGGCATGGTATATCACGATCTTCCAGGATTGACTCCAAATGAAGCTGGCCCTACCAATTTTCAGTTATATTTTGTTGAAACCGAAAAAGAGATTGAGAATCGGTTAAAGATTCTAGATAATTCGGAACTATCTGAACCTATAATCAACAAAGTTATGAAAATTATGGAGGTAAATCCATATGCAAGATTATTCAGGACATTAAAGGATTATCCTTCTATAGATAATGTTCAACTTCATATCTCGAAAGACGTGCGATTAGACCAGCGTGTTTACAATTCTCCAACTGCGGATCAAGTAGCAGCTATTTGGGTTGAAGGAAATGATCCTCATATACCAGCTGAACGAGATATTGTTGTTCATGCACGGTCAGGCCATAAGCATAGAATCAAACATTATTACGGTTGTTATGATCCGATGCAATATCCCCTTCTCTTTCCAAAAGGTGATACAGGGTGGCACCAAAATATACCAAAAATAGGAGCCCAGACGTCGAATACTATAATCAGTTCATATACAGAACAACAAAGAGGTTCGCTTAATCATTTACTTCATCAAGTACTTCTACAACAAAAAAAAGAAATGTTATTTTTACATTTACATTAATAAATGAAATAAAAATGAAGTTTCTTTTTTTAGTAAGTATAATTCATTTTTTCCTCTCAAAATTACCTACCATGATTCTTTGCAACAAAATAAAGTTTTGAATCAATACCATTTCATACACTTCTTTTACACCTAATTATTTTACAAAGCCATGGTTAAACTAAAAAGAGCATTAAAAAGAATATTTATTTTCCCCTGTATCGTACCATTAATCTTCCACAAGTTCTAATTTATCTCTAATTATATTTTGCAGCAAATGAGGAAGCTGCAGAATCGGAAAATATAACTTCTTCATATGACATTCTCGCAAGAGAACAACAAGGTACTGATAAATTAATCATTTTACCCAGCAATTTCATAATGTTTTCTTTGACCAATTAGTGGAGTTACTTATACAGAAGTCAGAACAACAAAGTCTTTTTCTTATTCATTTACTTCATCAAGTACTTCTACAACAAAAAATGGCTTAATTCCACTTTGCACCTCTGAAATATACAATTTTGGCACTTTGCACCCTTGAAACAAATTAATGGCACTATCCACCCTCGAAACACAATAAATCATGCATAATGCACCCCAAATAAAATTTTAAAGCTAATAAAGGTAATTTAATATTTTTAGTGGAATTTTTTTAGAATGCCAAATGTGAAATCCTCTTTTTTTATTCATCAATTATTTTGAAATTATAAAGTGCAAGAATAAAAATACATCTCATCAACATATTTAGAAATTATATTTTTTATCACAAAATATATATTTTACAAAAAAAAATCATTCAGCTATTTCTTCATCAAGTTATATGAAATTCATATTCATTCCAAATATTTTAACTAATATTCCACCACTGCAATAAAGT